AGCTGCGGCAGAACACCGACCACCAGCCAACACGAGAACCAGAGGGGTGGGAAAGGCAAAAAAAACGGGCACGCAGGCGCACGACCCCGCGCAGCCACATCCAGAGAGAGCGGGGGGTGGGAGAGGGCACCGCCCGCGCGGTGCGGGGCACATCACCACAGGAGCAGTGTGTCACGGCATCCACTCGCATTCACGCAGAAAGAGCAACCAAGACGCCTCTTGGCAATCCGCGTGAATCGCGGGGCACAATACAACTGCGCTGCTGCCTCTTTTGACGTATGGCACTCATCATTGGCATCCCCACACACCTCCGTCTCTGCGTGCGCATGCGTGGGCATCCGGGCGCACGCATTGCCCACTCACGGTGGAAATGGCACTGCCTCGTTGCGGTGGCATTTTGTGCCGCAACCCGCTCAGGCGTGAAGGCGCAGGGGACACCAGGCGGCTGCCCACCCGCAAGGAGGAGGAGGAGGGGCGCCGCCGCATTGCCCGCCACTACGCAAACACGCAGCGCCCTACACCCGCAAGGAAAGAGAGTGAGCCACAGCGCACTCTCCCCTCTTGTTGCCCCCTTCTCCATTAGTTTCTATCCTCTCCAAGGCCATCGGCGGAGGCGCCAGCAGCCGCCAGACCCAGCTGCCAGCATCGACTGCGACAGGATCATCCAAGTGCGCGGCAAAATATTTGTCGCGCGCGTGTGGCCGCGCGTGCCTGCAGACACGCAACGAAAAGGAGAAGTAAGGAAAAGCAAAGCGTGTAAATGCACACACAGCAGAGATGCAGGACGGAGAGTATATGAAAGAAGTCTGGTGAGACACTGGAATGCACTGCACTTGCAAAACACGGGAAATATGAAGAAAATAAAATTCGCTTTGACGAAAATCCCACACACGCACAACGAAAAAAAAAAAAACAAGAAAAAAGCGGAACGTCTTTTATTATTTTCCAAATTATCCATCTTGGGCCTCCCAAAACAGTAAACATAGTTTGCCTATAGGAAACAAGATATGTATTCGTTTCCACCGTTTAGCAGCCCCCGTGCAAATACATCATTTATATTCCACTGCAACGCACAGTGCGTTGCTCTACTGCTCATCCCTGTTTATTTGTTTTTGTTTTGTTTTTCCATCGGCCTCATCGGCGGTGCACACAACGCCGAGAGCGCAGTGGCCCTCTCGACGCAAGCAGTGGACCGATCTCGTCCGTCCCAGAAGAGTACCGAATAAAGAAGGAGAAAAAAAACAATGAAGGCCCTGTCCTGCTGGGCCCAAGGAAAGCGCATGTCCTTAAACAAAAAAAGATTTCTTGCATGGATTACAACAGGGGTTAAATCAAATTCAGGTACAATAAAAAGTGTAAACTCCTCAAGCGGCTTTAGTTAGTTCAGAAGTTGCGTGGATAGGCGCACGTGCCACCACTGAAGGCAGAACCGCCTTCACAATGGTTCACTTAGGATACAGCCGCAAAGCCCCATAGCCCCAACAGCAGCAGGACCGCCCCAAACACACCCGCGCCCATGGAGCCGTCGCCTTTGTGCCCTCCTTCCTTCTTCCCCTTTCCGTCTTCATCAGGGGAACCGGCATCTTCATGTTGTACCGGCACGTCGTTGTTGTCGTCGACCTTTTTGAGTTCCGCGTCGGCCAGCGGACGGTCGTACAGAAGGACGTTCGTCACCGCCACCGAGCCGCCTCTGTCTTTGCCGTCATCTTCGTCTCCAAAGTGGAAGTGCGAGATTTCGTGTGGCCGCTTCTCGGGCGTCGGTATCGCGTCGGAACTCCCCACCAGCTTGCCGTCCACGTACACGGAGCCATTGTTGCCCTGCAGCATGAGCGCCACCTTGTACTCCTTCCCCGGCTCCCACGTGCCCTTCGCCGCCTTCGCGCCGTTGAAGACAGTCTCCCACTGTTTCTCCTTGTTGTACGACAGCCCCACCAGCACCGTGCTTTTGTCGTCCTCCAGCCTCGCTCCCAGCAGAGAAACGCTCTCCCTCGGAACCTGGGTAATCTTCACCGTCGCCACAATCGCGAACCCGTAATTCACAAAGCCGTACAAATAACCGTAGTCCCACGTGTTCACGGGCCACACGGCGTGGGAGTCGGGCCCAGCGAACTCAAAGCCATTTTTGACCTTAGTTCCTTCCGTCACGGTGGCGTTCAAGCAAAGGTACTCGTCAACCCACGTTTCATCACTCGACACGTCAGTCAAAAGCCCAACCAGATTGGCCGTGGGCACAGACAACTTGGAGAAGGCGGCGTCCAGCTTTGCCCAAGCCGTCAAGACGGACTTGATCTTTTTCAGCTCCTCCGTCAGGGAGACAAGAACCAGGCTCCTGCTCCCCCCATGTCCCTTCTCTTGCAAAAGGTACAATTCATCATTCGAGTGCAGCAGGGCGTTGGCGAACGGCGGATACAAATCGGCGTCGACGGAAATTGGGCCGACATGAAATGCGCGTTTGTTGTCAGTGGCCCAAAGGAAGAGTTCCTTTGCCCTCGCCTCCTCGAACGAGTGCTCTTGCTGAGTGTACAGCATGACCTTCGTCCCAGCAATGGTCGCGGTGATGAGGGAACTCACACGCCGATCTCGTTGCGAAGGGTCCAATATAAAATCGCTCCGCACGCGTGAGATTGCCCCGACGGCATCCTTCCACGTTGCTCCCATGTCCCTCGACTCGAACACCTTGTGCGCACGCATACAAGTAGCAACCATCACAAGTTGCCCCTTTTCCCACTCGACGATGCGGGGCTCAGCGCAGCCCTCAGGGGACGTCCCCTTTGCAAGCGTCCAAGTTTTGCCGTCCTTCGAATAAATGACAGTGGAGACAAAGTCCCCTTCCTCCTTGCGCGCCACCAGAGAAAACACAATCGTGCCGTCGTCCATCACAACGCCTGCACCACCGCCACTCCATAAGTCGTTCAGGCCTTTCTCTTTACCGGCTTTGAGGGCCTGCGAGAGCAGCGAGATGGGTGGGTCCCACTTGACCATTTCACCTTGACTGCCGCCCTTGGGCTGCGCTGCCTCACCCACCACCAAATCCAGCCCACTATTGTCTCCCCGCCAGTAATCCTCAGTCTTCTCGAAGATCATCTCATAGCTTTCAATAAGGAGGAAGACCTTGTTGCCCTTTACAACTGCTTCGGGTCGGGACACGACGCCCACATGATCCACCTTGCTCTTTCTTCCAAAGACGGTGTATGCCTTCCATGTCGGCTTACCCACCTCAGAGGCAAAGGAAGAAAAGCCCTCCGCGGCGTTGATGTACCCTGCCACACCATCAGAAAACGAAAGCCACGTTGCTTGCTTATGGGGGTCATCAAACTTGAGGTGAGCTTCGGCGAACGCAACCATTACCCCACCGACACGGACGAGAGAAGGCGAGGTGAAGGAATCCTTCGGCCCAGCGGCGCCCTCCTTTTCCACCTTTGTCTTCTTTGGCACGAAAAGCTCGATCCCCTGTGGCAGTTGCACTGCCTTTGGTTTCTCCTCATGCTCAGCGTGCGCAACGCCACTGCCGCTGCTGATATGCAGCAGGAAGAGGAGCAGCACCGCAGAACAGAGCAATTGCCGAGACATGTTGAGTAGTGACCCCTCCCTTTCTCTTCCTTCCCTGCTTGTGGCGGGTCCGGTCAGGACGCGGCCTTTGTGCGTGTGAGGTGTGTGCCTTCACGACAGCAGCAGCACTTCAGTGTGTGTGTGTGTGTGTGTGTGTGTTGCTGGTGTTAACCTCAGAGCCTTCAACGTGCGCGGTAGCTAGAGTAGCTAGGAGCGTTTAGTCTCTTTCCTTCAGTGTGTGTGTGTGTGTGTTCAAAAACAAACGGCAGTGAGAAGGGGGGTGGGGGGGAAGCGGCAATGCGGGTTGCACTGCTCTGACGCAGTGGTGCAGCATCTCATTAAGCCTGTCGCTGCAAAACGGCACATCAACCGCCGTGAGAGCTGCCTCCCCTGCCGAAGAAGGGTAGAAAAACGGACTCAGCAGCCCAATAAAGAGACGCCAACTCCACCTCCTTCGCAGCGCCAGCAAGCCGCAGGCACAGAGCTGGGCCACGCTCCGATGCATGTGAGACGGCACTGCACCAGCATGAATGGCAATCGCAGTCTCTGGCGCCACCGGGAGCAGTTGTTGCGCAGCGCACCTGCCTTCTTTTTTTTCTTCGCTCGCATAGCAGTCCGCCTCGCCCCATTCCGTTCCTCTCCACTGCGGGTTGCCTGCGAGGAAACCTGTCGTTACTGTCACCCGTCCGTCCACGCCTCTCCTGCAGCCGCTGACTCCGTTAGAATGTGCTCACAGCACCTTCAGCGGTCCTTTTTCGTTGACACTACTGTATGGCGGCGCTCTGCGGCCGTCGTAATCCCCCTTCCCCCCTCACGCCACTGAAAGAAGCACTCCTGGTTGCTCGTTGTCTCCGCGTACACACTCACAGAAACGCAGGAGGTGCTGAAGTGCACAGCGGGCGAAAAAAGCGATCCGGCGCCTCCTGCAGCTTGGCACGCTGCGCCATGTGCCCCACGTCA